TAAGTACGAAAGTAGTACGCGAAGTCAACTTTCGGGGATTGAACATCGCAACTTTTAAGTGCAGAGAAAGATGGGTAGATAGATAGATCAATAAACAGATGTAGAGATAGCTAGAGAGATAGATAGAAAGAGAGAGAAAGAGACAGAGAAACAGAAAGAGAAAGAGAAAGAGAAAGAGAGAAAGAGAGAAAGAGAGAAAAAGAGAGAGAGAAAGAGAAGCAAGGGGCCAAGGACAGTTCTCCAAACTATAGTTGTTCACTGCTTTGAAACTTCCGCCCCCCGGCTCTGCCGGACCTTACTTGTATTCATGCATTTTTCCAGGGAGCTGCCTGAAGCATCACGCACAAGCTAGGGGGGCAATGGGCTCAAAACACTTTCTGATCTGCCCAATCCTGTACAAGGCAGCTGTCCTTCTCCTGAAGAGAAGGGGGCCCCTGCCCCTGCCAGTCCTGACCCTTTGATCTCAGAGCATTGGATCTTCCAGTGCCCTGCGTTTGCAGTGGTAGCACTTGGAGAACCTCTTATGCTCCTGCTCAAGAATGTAAGCCACCCCCATTATGGGGGTCAAGCCCTGGGTGGGGGGGGGGGAGGCACTCCAGCTCGCCCTCACCCCACCTTTTCCGCTGGGTGTCCTACCATACATAAAATTGGCACAGGGCCCCCTTTGAGGGGCGCCCTCCAGCCCTGACTAAAAGGGGTAGAACCTGTATGAAACCCCCCCTCCCAGATCTCCTCCTAGCAGGGGCAAAAGGCACAGACAGGACACAAACAAGCCCCACAGGGTGGTAGGTTGACGTCCCATGGGGCCAGGAGAGGAGGAGACAGAGCAGCAGGGTGAGGGCTAGCGCTGATGAGCCAAAAGGCAGCAAGTTCAGCAGCCCAGCAACCCCCGCACAAGCAGACAGACACAAGACACAAACACGCATCATGATCATCATCATCATCACCATCAGCAACATGATTGATCATCATGATCATCATGGTCATCATCATCATGATCACCATATCATCATCATGATCATTATCATCATCATGATCATCATGATCATCATCATCATGATCATCCTGATGACCATCATCATGGTCATCATGATCATCATCATCATCATGATCATCATCATCATCAGTATGGTATAATTTTAAATATTTGTGTATTTGTTTATAAACTTCAAAATTAATCGTAACACTATAGCCAAATTAAATATTCAATAAAATTCTGAAAATTTAATAATCAATTTGGCTATAATTTATATATAAAACATATATGAATAAATTTGCACCAAATTTGATATTGCTATTGCTTTAATTATCATAAACTACAACAAAAACAACAACTACTACTATTTCTACCACTACTGCTACTACTACTACTACTACTACAATTACTCACTACTACTACTACTACCACTACTACTATCACTACTACTACAATTACTCACTACTACTAATACTACTATCGTTAATACTACTACTACCACTACTACTATTACTACTACTACTACTTCTACTCCTACTACTACCACTACTACTACTAATACTACTATTACTTCTACTACTACTACTACTACTACTACTACGACTACTACTACGACTACTACTACTATTGACTACTACTATCACCACTAGTAGTAGCAGTAGTAGTAGTAGTAGTAGTAGCAGCAGTAGTTGTTGTAGAAACAATAGTAATAGCAATGGTAATAGTAGTCGCAGTTGGGTAACTTGCTCAAATGGTCCTGTGGTGGCTTGAAGCACTTCGGGGCTGCTTCAGACATGTTTCGAACTGTTTCGGACTGCTTTTTGAACCCTGGACAGTTCCGGTTTTGAAGCTTGAGGCGGTGCGCATGTCTCTTGTCGTAATATTGATAATAATCGTAGTAGGAATAGAAGTAGTGGAAAAAGTAGTAGTTAGTAGTAGTAGTAGTAGTAGTAGTAGTAGTAGTAGTAGTAGTAGTAGTAGTAGTAGTAGTAGTAGTAGTAGTAGTAGTAGTAGTAGTAGTAGTAGTAGTCGTACTAGTAGTAGGTAGTATTAGTAGTAGTAGTGGTAATAGTAGTAGTAGTAGTAGTAGTAGTAGAAGTAGTAGTAGTATAGTATTAGTAGTAGTAGTGGTAGTAGCTGTAACAGGATGAATAGTAGTAGTAGCAGTAGTAGTAGTAGTAGTAGTAGTTGTAGTAGTAGTAGTAGTAGCAGTGAGTAATTGTAGTAGTAGTAGTAGCAGTAATAGTAGCAGTAGTAGTAGCAGTAGTAGTAGTGCATGGTAGTGGTGGTGGTGGTGGTAGTAGTAGTAGTAGTTGTAGTTTATGAGTAATAATAATTGTAGCAATAGCAATAGTGACAACAACGGTACTGTTGCACGGATGGACGGGCGCGCCCGTCGGATGGACGTCCGTCTGGCGGGCGCCCGCCCGACGGGTGCCCGTCCGTCGGGCTAGTAATACTGTAGTAGTAGTAGTAGCAGTAGTAATGGTAGAAATAATAGTAGTAGCAATCGTAATAGTAGTCGTATTTGGAGAACTTGCTCAAGTGGACCTGTGGTGGCTTCGGGCACTTCGGGCTGCTTCAGACATGTTTCCGAACTGTTTCGGACTGCTTTTTGAACCCTGGGCAGTTCCGGCTTTGAAGCTTGACGCAGTGCCCCTGTCTCTTGTCGTAATCGCAGTACTAGTAGTATAAGTACTTGTACTAGTTGTATTAATAGTAGTAGTAGTAGTCGTAGTAGTAGTAGTAGTAGTAGTAGTAGTAGTAGTAGTATTAGTAGTACAAGTGGTAGTAGTAGGAGTAGTAGTAGCAGTAGAAGTAGTAGTAGCATAAGTAGTAGTAGTAGTAGTAGTAGTAGTAGTAGTAGTAGCAGTAGTAGCGGTCGTAGTAGTGGTAGTAGCAGTAGGAGTAGTAGTAGAAGTAGTATTAGTAGTAGTAGTGGTAGTAGTAGTAATAGAAGTAGTAATAGAATTAGTAGTAGTAGTGGTAGTAGTAGTAGAAGTAGTAGTAGTAGTAGCAGTAGTATTAGTATAAGTAGTAGTAGTAGTAGTAGTAGTAGTAGTAGTAGTAGTAGTAGTAGTTGGACGTTTTTGTTTTTGTTTTTCTTCCTTATCGTTTTACAGGCGTTTCGCCATGCACCTCCCCCTCCGGACAGAGCCTTACATAATGTAAAGGTGCGGGGTATTCATACAATTGTAGGATATTACAAGAGTACTAAAAGACAACTAAAAAGATTAAGCGCCGGGGCAGGCCAAGGAAAATCCACGAAAAGCGCATCCAAGCCAGTTTCCAGATTGCTCACTTGGCGGTTTGTCAGCGGCCCTTTCGTACCCCTTTGAAGGGAGACCAGGTTCGAGTCGAGATTTGAGCATAGGAACAGCAGATCAGCTTCCACGGCCAAAGCTGCTACCAGCAAAGAAGATTTCGGTTGGTTCCCAGCCATCCGGTTCCTTAGGTTTTAGGTTGCTAGTTAGTTTTGCGGTTGGGTTTCCATTTCACCCACAAAGGGTTCAACTCTTAGCAGGGGGAGACGGGAAGACATTCCAACAGAGAGGAGCTGCAAGCTGCCCAGCAAGCTCTGCAGAGCTCAGGTTTCCGCATCATACATATATATATATATATATATATATCAACAGCCCGATTTCTAGAAACAAGAAGCCGTTTAAAAAAAAGGCACCGGCCTTGAGACCGAGGCTCCCGTCCTAGTTAGAGGGAACAACCCCCGCGAAGCTGCGCCAAGCTCCGTGTGGGGTCAAAAGACGCCAGCAGGAAGGACTTGTTTTGACGGGTCGGTTTCAACACAAGCAACACCTTTTGGATGGGAAAACCTCCACACCTCCAAACCTCCGATTCCTGGCATTTCGAGGGAGCCTCAAGCGCCGAAACCCTCGAAATGGGTGGTCGAAATGAGATGGAAAACCAAACACAAAGATTTGTCTCCAAATGGGGAAGCCACATGCGCGGGTGTCCTTGGGGTTTGTCAACCAATCGTTAAAGCTCCCTCTAAATGGCAAAAACAAATGGGAGGTTTGGAGGTGTGGAGCTTGATTTCCCAACTCTCGCTGGTTCAGAACCCAGTCCACGAGGGCCTAAGGCCTGGATCTGACATTCCTTTTGCCTTTGGGTGAATTCAAATGACTTGGCTGCTTGGGTGACTCATCGGACTCTGCGGTGGACATCAGAATTCGGTGGGGATTCATGGGATTCATGTCCACCAAGCTACTTTGGAATGCGGTTGGTTCTCTACCGACATCTCTAGCCGTCTACTTGGTTGACGTTGGAAGGGGAGCAAGAATATATATGCCTAGCAGCTTAGTGGGGATTTCCCACTAAACCACAATAAGCAAAAATACGTAGAAATGTTTCTCAACAACCATGTTTAGCACCCAGTACATGTCCCAAGCCTTCATCAAGCTTGGTCAAGCCCCAGAAACTCAGCCCGGGAGAAGTTCGGGGGCCTTCGGGGGCTTTCCGAAACGCGAGGTACATCGGGCAGGCAGGGTGCAAGCGAGGCCGAGGGTCAGTGGGGTACAGCCGAAACAAGCGAATCGGTTCTGATTCTGCTTCATATTTTTAGTTTGCCCTATTTCAAAAATGGGTGTGTCTGTTTTGGGGAACCCTTTTTGGGTTCTTGGAGGGGTTCCCCTAGAAAGGGACACACCCATCTGGGTTTGTCTCAAAGGATAACCCTTGAAATGGGCAAGTTTCCTGTTGCTCCCAGGGAAAAAACCAGAGAAACCCCTATCAATTGCTTAAGAATATTTCTTAATTTTCCCTTGTGGGCTTTGGAGGGAATCTATCACTGGAACTATGTTTTGAGAGGTTGATTCCCCACTCTTTCCAACCATCGTTCTTTTCAAACAACAGCTATTTTCCCTGGGTTTCCGGAGGTTTTCTAGGAAGGATCCCTGGAAAGAGTGTTGCAGGTACAAGAATGTGACATCTTTTCCAGGGGGCGTCCAGCAAATCTGTGCGAAGCGGTGCCAAGCGGATTTTGTCCGTCACGCCGAACTGGGGCTGCGGCAATGGCCGAAGCGCCTGCAGAGCGAGCCTCGGAGCGCAAGGCAAACTTCGCCTCGTCTGTTTCTACTTGTGTCAGTGACATGAATGACACTTCTCTAACATGGTTCTACTTGTGTCGGTGAATTCTATATAAAATGACACCCAAGCGACCATGTGTAGAGAAGTCGTTTGTTGGAGGTTAAACATGGAACCCAAACTGCCCTCTACTTGAAAATGGAACCCAAACTGACCTCTGCTTAAAAATGGAACCCAAACAACCATTTGTAGATAAGTCGTCTTTGAAAGCTCCTTGCAAATCGGCCAAATCAAGCGCTCAGGGCTCGGGGGGTTGTGGGGGAGAGCCGGGAGAGCTTCATGTTCTGAGCATCCGTCGACTGCTCCGCCGAAGGTGGGGTTCTTCTCGATGCTGTGCACCTCAAAAGGAAAAAAGGGGTGGCCCAGTTTGGTACACTCCTCAGACTGGGCCCAGCAATCTCCCAGAAGGCCTCTGTAAATGGAACTAAGTCTTCCAAAGGGGTGGGAGCTGGGAGCTTCCATGTTAGTCTGGAGGTAACTCGCAGACACTGGGCCCCTTTTTAGCGGGAACCATGACACATGAGGGGATCCCCAGTTTAACGTCGGATTTGCTCATCCTGTACAAAAAGGGGGGTGAAACACCCCAACAAAGTGATCCGGATTCCCTATTCTTTCCGGACACCCCCAACAATGGGCCGTTTTCATCCCGATGTCTGGAAGTAGGAAGTGCCTCGTTTAGGCCATTAAATGAATCTGGCTGCGGCAGGGAGCCCTTGCCGGTTTAAACCTCTCCCCCGTTGCGATAGAAAATCCCGTCTTTACCTTTCAGCCTTCGCGCATCCAAGGGACCCAAAAAGGGTCCCCCCCCCCCTTCCGTCCTCAACAAAAGGCAGAAGGTCATTGGTATCGGAGGTTAAAAACAAAAAATGAAAGAACACGGAAAGCCCTGCCCCCTTCTCGGTGTCATAGACACTTAGGGATGACTTAGAACGGAGGTTGCCGAATGGGAGTTTCTCAAAATGAACCCCCTTTGGTTGGTATTGGGCGGGAGGAGAAAGCCAACCATAGGAAATGGACCGATTCCTATTTCTGGGCTGCCCTCAGATCCCCCTGCTAAAGGTTTAACTGTTCGTGGCTTAAATACCTAAAAATCCCACGTCCTAAACACAACAAAAAGCTGAAAAGCAACCCTCCCACCAGCTAACATGGAAGTGCACAGACCCCTGTAGAAAGACGACTTTCCTCTTGGTTAGTTGGCCTTTTTGCATTTCCATGTTAGTTGGTGGGAGGGTAAGAAACCCCCCCGCTAAAAGTTTAACTGTTAGTGGCTCAAACACGAAAATCCAACCTTCTAAACACCCACAATAAAAAGAAGAAGAGCTAAGTTGACCCGCATGGCTCGGGACCGAGCCTTGGAGACGCACCCCAGACCCACCGACCCAATCCGAGGCCAGGCGGCCATGGTGCCGATGGGCACCTTGTCCAAGGGCACCGCGTTGCCCACGAAGATGGGCGCGTCCGCGGAGGAGATGATCTGAGAGAGGTTCAAACCAAGGGGTCTGTTCAAACCAAGGGGTCTGAGGTTTCACCAAGGGGTCTGTCTTTTTGTCTGGGTGAATTCTTGAGGGCGTGTTGTAACCACGACAAAAACGCGGTTTTTTGTTACCATGTTTCTGGTCGTAGTTATAACCCTCTCTAGTGAATTATTATATTTCACCAACCTGAAATAAGGTGATTGGGGGGCTATTCCCCACATAAACCACCATGTGGGGTCAGGTCGTGTGAGTTCGTTATAATTCACCCAGATGTACTATATCTCCCCCTCCCCCCCCCAAAAAAAAACAAACACCTATACCTTCCTATATTCTAGAGGAAAGTTGTCAACTCTACTCTGCGCGCCTCCTTCTTGCGATGTATATGTATATATATATATACACACACTTTTTAAAAGATTCCAGGAGTGATAGACCCCTTTGAAGAACCCAACAGGGGAGACAACCGGCAGTTGGATTGTTGGGGGTCATTCCCTCATTCGCTGCTGATCACTAGCAAGCTGACCAGGTTGGGGTCCATTGGGATAAGAGCAATGACCATTGGTTAGGTGATCGCCCATCGCCTCTAAACCAGCGTGATATGTCCCCCAAATCAGAAAAAAATAACAAGAACACAAGCACCAGCAGGTCTGGACAACCAGAAGCAAAAGATGGCACAACTTCCTTGACGGCAGCCAAAGGTCATGACGGGCGACCATGGGTTGGAATTGCGCCACCTACTTCCAGTAAACAAGGGGAGCAATGACTGAAGGCCCATAGTTCTGACTAGGGGCCCATTTCAGAGGGCTCCGTGCCAAAACAAACACCCCAACAAAAATCAAAATGAAAGCTTGGTGTGGCTCCAAACGATGGGATTTCATTTCTCTTTGGAGGGAGCCCAAGGGCTCCCTCCGCCAAAACCCAATCCCCTTCTCCACAAAGCCCAAGGGTCAGCTTGTTTGTCGCCCCCAACAACTTTGGGCTCCCTGGTTTCCCATTGGGACTTTTGGATGGATTTTTGGGGGTTCCACGTTTCCAAGCAGGAACCTCTGGGTGAATCGCTGCCACACGGAGACGGACCTCTGTGTGGGCACCCCGTGCTGCCGGCATGGAATCGGGTACGAAGTTGGTCTCCAAGGGAGCGGCCAACAAGGCTGTGTTTTTTCCCCCTTCAACCACCTACCAAAGGGCAGGCCCCAGTTAGATAAAATCCCCTCAACCGACCAATTCACATAATATTTTTTCATCATTTCATAACAGAACCTCAACTCAAGATTTGATACATAAATTTTACAAATATTTTTCTAAATTTTCAAAAATATATTTTTCCCAAAATCCCAAATTCCCAAAATATATTTTTCCAAAATCCCAAAATATAAAATCCCCTCAACCGACCAATTCACATAATATTTTTTCATCATTTCATAACAGAACCTCAACTCAAGATTTGATACATAAATTTTGTAAATATTTTTCTAAATTCCCAAAATATATTTTTCCAAAATCCCAAATTCCCAAATCCCAAAATCCCAAATTCCCAAAATATATTTTTCCAAAATCCCAAATCCCAAAATATAAAATCCCCATAATTTTCAAACATAAATCTTACAATGTTTTTTATTGTAAGGTTTATGGTTTAGTATTAATTAACATGCAAGAAGTGCTACAAATGAAACAACTGAGACAATGACCATACCGATACAGAAATGACAATTTCCTCATCCAAATGGCGATATCACCATCTCCTCGTTCAAAATGAGACGCCACTCACCAAAAATGAGGAAATGACCATTTCCTCATTTTTAAAAGGCATTTTACCTTTACAACCAATGAGAAAATGACCAAATGACCATCCAAATGAGTAAATGACCATTTCATCATCCTCCCAACCTCAAATTCCTTAATCTGTCAAACTCGTCAAAATATCACAATTAATATCAGCATTTTTCAAGTCTAATGAGATGACATTATAACCGAGTGACTTTGCTATGGTTCCTACACTTCCAGTTCCACTAAATAATTCTAATAAATTCATATTGTTTATTAGAATGATTTAGATAATGTTTTAGAAATATACATATTTATCATCTTCCTTAATAATCTTATAGTATTCTAATGTTTGTTCTTTTGGACTTTTGATTTGTCCCTTATTTAACATATCACAATATTTTTTACGCTTCGTGTCATAATCACCGCTGGGTCTGCCTATCCCTTTCTTTTCAAAGATTTTGTCAATCTTTTCCTTCTCTTCATTGTTATCTTTTGGTTCGTTTGCCTTTGCATCAAGTTTCTGGTCAATAGTTTTTATCATCTCATACAACAGTTTAACATTTTTACTAACTGTCATTATTTTCTTTGATAGTTCAGAAATAGAATCATTCTCAACTTCAGACATTTCTATATATATTTATTTATATAATTATTTATTTAAATATTTAATTATTTATAAAATTGATTTAATGTAAAATCTACTCTTTAAGTACTAAATTTTCATCATTTGTTTAATAGTTTCCTGTGCTTCGTTATCACCATTATCGGATGGTGACGCATGCCTTCCCCATTTAAAAGTTATATTATGGACATCAGTTTCTAAGTTGATACTGTCTTTAGTTTTATCAATATTCATTTTCTTATCGTTTTTACTCAATTTGAAATTTGTCGGAATACACGAACATTTACAATTTCCTTTCTTTTGAATTTCTAATTCGTTCTTCATTGCTAACATCTTTCTACACATAGGACACTCAAACTCAATAACTGATGTTTCTTTAACAATTTCTTCTTCTTTGTCTTCATCTGTTGAAGAAACTGTAGTATCTGTTTTATTCTTTTTGTTTTTCTTTTTTCCCATTTATATTAATATTTACATTTTTATTTTTGATATATTGTATTCCTAATTTTATTAATTCTAATGTATAAAAGCATACTTTCTTACATCTGTTGTCAGTTATTATTACTTGTTCTATATTCTCTACTTCATCTATTATATCAATATAATCTGAATAACTTCTATTCATATAAATAATAAGATGAAATAATTATTTAATCTTATTATTTCATGCATAATAGAATATTGATGGGGGGCACAGCACTTGGAGTTTTCATTGCACTGGACAACGCAAGCGAGGTTCAAACTAATTCAAACTAATTAGCTTCAATGCTTACTGATTGAAGCAATGGAAACCTGTTCCGTTTTTATGATATTCACTACCAGCATATCATAAAAAAGATGTTCCATTCAATAATAAATATAATTTATTTTCTAAATATGTTTAATATTATTTTATTATGCCTGATGTAAAACCAATTGATGAAATCAAATATGACTTTAAGCAAAGCAAGCACGAGGTCGTCCCTAAATTGCCGATGAGAGCTATGATTGTGGGCCCGTCAGGCTCTGGCAAATCGACGCTACTTGTATCAATGATACTTGATATTTATAGAGGAGCATATGAAAGAATTTTTATCTGGTCCCCATCTGTAAATTTGGATAGCATTTGGTTGCCTGTTAAAAAATACATTAAGGAAGGTTTGAAAGTAGATAATGATAAAGAACCGTGTTGGTGGGATGAGTTCAATGTTGAAGATTTAGAAAGAGTTATAGAAACTCAAAATAAAATAATTGAATACCAAAAAAAACAAGGAATGAAAAAGTTATTTAATATATTAGTTATATTGGATGATGTATCTGATAATCCAGCAATAACAAGAAATAACAAATTGTTAAATTCTTTATTTTGTAGAGGCCGTCATAGTGGAATATCAACACTTGTCAGTCTTCAGAAATCATCAACTGTACCACCAATTATTAGAGTAAATATAAGTCATTTGTTTTATTATAAAGTTAGAAACTACAAAGAAATTGAAATATTGCAAGATGAATTATCAGCAATTGTTAGAAGCGATAATTTACACGAAAGCAAGAAATTAATTTATAAAATATATGAAACTGCCACTGATGAACCGCATAGCTTTTTATATATTAACCTTTTAGAAAAGAACCCAGATAAAATGTTTATGAAAAACTTTTCACAATATTTGAAAATTACTAATTAAACAAATAAAAATAAATATACTATATGACATTTTATGATTTACCTGGAGACATTAAACTTTATATAGCGTCATATATTTTAGGTCATTCTAAAATAATAAAACTAAAAAATAATAAAGTGTTTAGAACATATATTAATAGATTTAAACCTACAATAGATTTTGAGAATAAAGATAATGTATATAACTTTTGTATTTATAAATTTAATTTAAAATCAGTGGCACCATCATCATATTTAAAATATTATATTCATGATAAGGAATTAAAATATTTGATTGAAAAATATGATAAAATTAAATACGAAACAACAATTGATTTTTATATAAAAATGAACGATGATAATGAAAATCCTAATGGTGTATATGTTACTGGTACTACCTCTTGTAAAGTGTGTAAAACATTTGAAGAATTAAATTATCATATTAATAATTGTACTAGTGTAAATACATTTCATTCTAATAATCCTGATACATTAGTAGATTTTAAATATGTAAGATATAAAGTTAAAATAAGTGGATTTAATGAAACACATTTAAGAAAGTTATATAATAGATTTGTTGAAGTATTCAATTAATAGCATTAACTTAATGTTATTAATTCATAATAATGACCAATTAATAATATTCATATTTTTTAATATTATTAATTCAGAATAAACTATAACTACACAAATTCAACGCTGGTAATTTATATATTAATTTGTCACATTTCATTGTCTCCAGTTTTTCTAATCTTTCACTCATTTGCTTAATTGCTTTCAACTGTAATTTATCAATATTACTTAAATCTAATTGTTCTACATCAATATCATTGATTTTGTCAATACTTGAAGTTTCAACATTACTATTTGAATTACCCATTATATATTATTATTTAGATTTTTCTTTTTTCAATTCCTTAATTTCTTTTTCAAGTTTATCTACTTTATCATTTAATTCTAATACTGCT